AAAAAAAAAAAATTGTAAAGGTGGTGATCCAGCAAAAATCTGGCAGTGAACAATTTCTGAGGTGGCATGTAAAATAAGAAAACTCATTCTTTGTGTTTGGAGGCTTTTTTAATGTGTCAAAATATACATAGATTTAAGTATAGAGTTACTTTAGGCATATTTGATGGCAAAATAGGTAACATGTATTTACTCTCCCCCCTTATAGGGTGCAAAAGTATTCAACTACGCCACGTGGCAGCAGACTTCTAATGGCATGTTTGTGGTGTTTGCAGTCGTCTTTATGGTGACAAGACTTATTGTTTTTCCTTTTTGGTAAGTATTTTAAAAGAAAAATTGCACCCTAGTGATGATCTTGATGATCTTAGTGCGATATGTTAAAATATTACGAGTGTGTTTTCCACAGGCTGATTCACTGTACATGGGTGTACCCACTGGAATTGTATCCTGCCTTCTTTGGCTACTATTTCTTCAACGTCATGTTGTTGGTTCTCCAGTTGCTCCACCTGTACTGGGCTGCTCTCATATTAAGAATGGTTTACAAGTTTATCTTTACCCAGGTGGGTTTACAGATGTCTCTGTGTCCATGCATGTGGGATGTGTGGGAATGTGGGGTATGTTTTATTTCTGTCTGTGTTGTTTATCCTCTTTGCTTATTTTCATCCTGCAGCTGGAAGGCGATGATAGGAGTGATAAAGAGGAAGATGACAGTGACCCACCGATAGAAAGAAACCACAAACCGAGTCACATGAATGGTTCTGGTGCCAGAGGCAGGGCCAATGGCCACTGAAACATACAGAGAGAAACAGAGAAAGATGTACAGCAGATATGTGGACATTTTTCTTCAAGTCTTTGGATTACAACTGTTAGAGTTTAACTGTTTGTAAAATGATAAAGCATATAGTATTATTCTAAAGCACAGAATATTATTGCATAGGTAACTGTGAAGGATTACAAAAATAAACTTGTATGACACTACATGCTTTCTGCAACTCCGTGATCACATGTTGTTTTATTCCACTCTTAAATGAAAAACAGAAATTCTTTTTCATTTATTTTGTGCTTTTGTATGTTGGTGGGAATAATTAGTAACAATAAAGACAAACATGAAAATGTATCAGAGAGACAGGTCACGCTGGAGAGGCGTAGCTGAGATAGTTTGGACATGTGCAGAGGGGAGAGAGTGAATATACTGGACAAATGATGTTGAATATGGAGCTGCCAGGTAGGAAGAAAAGAGGAAGACCACAAAGAAGATTTCTGGATGTAGTGAAGGAGGACATGCAGAGGGTTGGTGTAATAAAAGAGGATGCCTGGGGTAGAGTGAGACAGAGGCAGATGATCCGCTGTGATGACTTCCAAAGTGTGATGACTTCCAAAAACAATACAATTGCTCTATAGAGCAAAAAAACTTTAAAAAAAAATCAAATTAAGCAAGATTAAAGCGGATTAAAAAGCCACAACACAAATATATGGCTGTATGAATGTACTACACTGTAGTTGTTTTGTTTCTAATTACAACCTCGACGTCTCGCGACGATCAGCGAGAACTGACGAGTACACCGTTACCATAGAGACTACATCACAAACCAAGCTAAAATAGCTAAAGCAGCTAAACTTGTTAAACTTTCCGGCATGTACTCGCAGTTTTGCCTGAGTGAAAAATGGCACATATAAGAACTTACCGCACACCTGTGAAAATGGGAAACTGGTTTGAAGAGCAGCGCTTAAAAGAGGTTTGTTTAAAAAGAGAGAGAGAAAAAAAACTACTGGAACATTTAATGTTTCAACCAGCAATGGGTTGAAAATAGCACTGGTAGTAATTCAGTGTTATTATATATGTTTAGGAAGTGAATTTGATTCGGGGTTGCGAGGTTCTAGTTAACACAGACTTACTGCGAACTGGGCATCGATCTAATAAATAATAACAAATAGTCTGCTAATTTTTGGAATTTTTTAATAAACATTTAGCCTTTTACAATTCATGGTCAAAATATTACCATATTTTTCGAAATGTACTTTACATCTGACTGTTTATAGTCCTGTTTTCACACCTAAAGAAAGTATTCAGTGCTAGACGTTTTATGAGTTGTAGGCAACACAAAATACGTTGATATAGCTATTGGGGTAAAGTTTTCAGGGTTCAACTGCACAGAGACAAAAACAAACGCAAAATGTCACGCAGCTAGATATAATCCTGAAATACTGAATTGGGGAGATTACAAATAATTTTTGTAATAATGGTTTAATGCTACTGTAAATGTTTTTAAGTAATTGATTTACTTTACTTGCTACAGTAACTAGTAGTGGTTGGACTGAAAAGAAAACTGTGTTAAAGAGTACTTACTTGATGTCTTATTTTTTTTTTCTCCAGGATGAAGTAAAAGAACATCTGGAGAAAAAAGAGAGGGGTGAGCTTGCTGGCCAGAAAATGGACTTCCTCAAAGAGAACATTTTAAAACCGGTAAAATGGGTTTTAACCCAATAAAATACTTGTTGAAACCAATCACACTGGCAATGTGCTAATAAGGGACTTTATCTGTTTGTGTAGGTGAAATTCTCCGTGACAAATGATGGTACACTGCACTTTGGTGATATTGTGATGTTAGTGAACATGGGAGGAGGAAACAGGGAGTGCAGTGCAGTGAGCATCAATGCTGATGTTAACAGCTTAACAAAGATTCCTTCTCCCAGCATTCAAGCTCCGTGTGCAGTCAGCGCTGTCAGGAGTGTCCAGCCGTGCACACGCACAGCTTTCGTCATTACCAGGTAAACACCCTCAAATTTACATTAACATAAACTTTAATACTTATAGCAACACCCTGATTTAAATCTGCAACATCTGCTTGTGTGACATTAGTGTAGATGGCAGTCCTGAGGGATCCACTCTTCATTTTGAGCAAAGTTTTGCCTTAAAAACAACAAGTGGCTTTGCCAGGGGAGTAAGTGAACACACACACACACACACACACACACACACACACACACACACACACAATACACATTTTAATTACATGTTGAATACAAAGAGTATCTTAAATGGGCATTCCAGTGATTTTCCACATAAGAAAAATCCTTTAGTATGTTTTTTTTACAGGGAGCACAATCTGGCCTGACACCACAGTTCTGTAATATCCTCAGATGTAAACTTTTTAATGTCTAAGTTACAGTTATTGTCAGTTATTTCAGTTGTGTTCTTGGTATGAGAGGAAGATATAAGTCTTTTAAGCACTGATTATTATATAACACTGTTTTTTCAGTTATGTCTTTGGACTGATCTAAACGAGATGTGTTGAGTTTAGAGGATTTATTAAGGCGTTTATTACTGGTGTTTATTATAGTATTTTAGTAGCGTTATATAAGTTATGACATTACCTTTAAAAACCTGATCTTGTCAGTGTGCCAATTAATGGAAGGTTAAATTATTATCTTTCTAAGAAAAAAAACAATTACCACTAAGTTGCGTTCTTTTTAACACAGTGTGATCCATTTGTGACAGGTGTGGACTATAGTCAGGCTAGTTTGGCACCTGGACACTTGTAGGTCACTATGTACTCATGCTATTAAATTACATGCGGAATGTAGGTTGGCATTGTTTTCCTGAAACAGTTTTTTCAACCCATTAAAATGCTTTTCAAAGGTTGTAAAAATCCCTTGACACACTACACGCTCTTATACTACTGTGGATTCTTGCTTTTAAAGTGAAAGCTGAAAAAAATTGAAACGGTCCCTCTTTTCTTTATCCCAGAGGATGAAAAACAATTTCAAACTGTGATGGTTCAAATCGTTTTTGCACATCGCCTCAGTCCATCTCTAAAGAGTTAGGTCCCAAAGAACACATTGGCTTTTTATACTATGCTTTTTTCATTACCTTAGGAGAGTTTTAATTTGAATTTGTGGCGATAGCAACAAACTGTTTACTGGGTTAAGGCCATGCATTAATGTCAGATATGAAGTCAAGTTTTTCAAGGTTTTTAATTCACTGCTTTCTGAGAATGTTCGACTTTTTCCCTTGCATACAGATATTTTTCAGGATTATCTAGCCATCCATAAATCCCCTTTTTTAATGCAAGATTTAAATGGCTTCTAGATTGCTATAGTCTTTTTTTAATGAACATTTAACATGCCATGCTTTTTTCTTATGTCTAAATGTAGATATCCAATATCCTGTCAAGAAAACAAAAATCAAAATAGAGAAAGGTTCACAGGAGGCACGACATAATGAACCAGCAAAGCCTAAAGGCAGACACACACTAAATGCACATGGGAAGATGAATAAATGAGACACAGGTAAAGTCATTCAAGATGATAATGAAGTAAAATAGCCCAGAAGGGATGAAAAAGTACAAGGGAATAACGCTCAAAATGAAAGAGGAAAATTTAAAGCAGAACAAAGAACAGATGCAGAAAAACAGCAAGCTATAGACAGGGTGAACAGAAAACGCACAGGAAAGGAAAACCACAAACACATGGAAGTACCATAACTAATGTTACAACATGAATCAAAGCAGGGTCTCATATACACATGGGATGTATGTACAATTTGAATGATTGCTTCTTGTATTTACATGTATTCTTTCCCTTTCTTTCCCTCAGCTTTACTTGACGAGTGACCTGCAAAGTTTTCAAAAGGTAAGTTAAGTTTTAACATTAATTACAGCAAAAATAACTGTGACAATGCTTTAAATGAAAAATTAATGGAAAAATTGTGCATTTGTACATACTGTACATACTTTAGTGCAAGATGACATAATTATGTTCCCCCTTTTTGTGAGAATTTTTACTATTATCATATATTTTGACCTAAAAGTGTGCAAAAAAGTCTCGCCTCCAAGAAGTAAGCCTGGAAGACAGCGATTCCTTTCTGTCATGGTGGAAGATAGTTTACTTTGACCCCCAGGAAAGACTTGAATATGAGGGTCTGCCAGTTCCTGTAAGTGTTTACTGTATCTTCCTGGTTAAACGTTACACCTGCTGCAGCATCAGTGTTATAAATGCATTATGTTCCTTTCACTGCCATTAAGAATTGTGTTTTGTCCATGCTTTTTTAGGCTAATGTGAAGGTGCTGATTGTACATTGCAAAACAAACCAGGCTCTTGCTGTTCTGGGTGATCAAGTCCTCTGGTATTTTTCAATTTTCTTTTCAAATGTAACTCCAAACCAGTTGTGTTGGGCATTTATGATATCAGCATAGATGTCTGTTAGCACATTATCAATAACAAGCAATACTGTAGGATACACAAGGAGCAAGTAAAGAAGAAAACAGTACATTTTTGCTACAATGACATTAAAATTGCACTGCTACTCAGGTCCAATTAGCTAATCAGCTCCACAGCTGCTATAAGAACATGTGAAACCAACCATCTGTTGTGTCCTTAATAATGACCACCAAGATGTGAATTCATTTCTGCTGTTAATAGATTCCGGCCTTCAGAATGGCAGTTAAAAGTGACGTTCGGTCCCCTGCATGCCAACTATCGTTTTTCTGTGCATAACAGTTGTGTCCTTGCAGGACCATGTACGGCAAGGAGTATGAGCTGACGGCTCACACGTTCTTGGATTCCCATAAAGCTGAACAGGACAACAATCACTGGATACTCTGCACTGCTGATCCTGCAGGGGACGGACTTGTACTTTTCAAACAACCACAGTTGATGGCTAAAAAAACAGAACTTGAGGCGCTCTCAGAAGCTAACCCTAGTGTTTAACACCATCTGTTTTTATGCTAAAATGTATTGTAATAAAGGTTGTTTTTTTCTGGTTAGGTCATCACTTGTAATGCAGGAAGATTCTAGTGCAAAAATCAGTAACACATAACCACCAACTGTTAAGTGTGTTTTACTAGAAGTAATAAGTAATAATTTGACAGCAATGTTCATGAATTTGTTAATAACTAGTTTGTAAACCATCTATGAACATTATCTGGAAAGCTATAACAAAGTTGCAGCTGATGTTAAAATATTAATAATTAACACTGTTTATTATGTGGATGATTATTATACAGCTGGAACTTGTATTTGATTGTCTTTTTAATGTTATTTTTTTAATTGTGCATAAATATTCAGTTCAGTTAGCATCAGAAGACTGTGATGCAAATAACAGAAAGTTATTCGAGGGAAGGCTGTATAAAGTAAATAGAACTGGTCCCAGCACGGTTCCCTGTGGAGCTCTGTATAGAAAACACTCCCCATTTTCATGAGGAAATGGAAATCTGTTTCGCAGATATGATTCAAAACACTGCAGCACAGTACCTTTAATAATTACAAAATGTTCTAATGTTTGCAGTAAAATATTGTGGTCTACAGTATCAAATGCCGCACTGAGGTCTAGCAGGACAAACACAGAGATTAATCAACTGTCAGCAGGCATAAGTAGATCATTCATAACCTTCACCAGTGCCGTTTCTGCACTGACTAGAATTTGCTAAATAAACTAAAGTAAAAAGAAGGTTGGAGTTTGGTCAATAATTTGCTAAGACAGCTGGGCCAAGTAGAGCTTTTTAAGTAATAGTAAACTTATCTTAACTTATCTTAAAAGCCTGTGGTAGGTACCCTAGTAATAAAGATAGATTTATCATATTTAAGATCGATACATTAGTTAATTGTGGGACTTTTTAAACAGTCTTATCAAAAGGGGTCTAATAGAGTTGATGGTTTGAAGGAAGTAATCATTGGAAGTTAACTGAGGAATATCGATCTATACTGCTTATAAATTCAGGAACATCCAAAGATGCAACCCTCATCTGCAAAAAAGCTGTGACTTTGTAAATAATGTAAAGCAAAAATGATTTAAGTCTTCTATTTAACTGAAACTGCAATACAAAGTAATGTTCTGTAAAAGAAAATTGAAAAGAAAAATTTACAAAACATTATTGTTCTCTCAATTTTTTTTTTGGCAATTGGGGAAAAATAAACAGCAAGAAGGAGACGATCCCAGAAGAACCTTCCAAGAAGAGCCAATATCCCAGTTGTGTGTGTGATAGGAGAGACAGCTAGTCTACCCCTTGGAAGTTTAAGTCTATCTCACTGCAGGAACGACTCTGAGGGATCACTTTAGAGAACAACGAATATTAAAAACAGACCTCTGTTCTCTGAGATGTCTGCGGGATTAGGTTTCGGTTTAAATGTTTTCATTTGTCTTCATGACCTCAATTGTGGGGCAGAGGTTTTGGAAGCATTATCAGTAAACCAGACTTCCAAGTGCATGGCTTAGACCTCAGTTTTTTGTTTTATCTGAGCTTGCATTTAAGTTACCATCGCTGAAGCAAAACAAACAAACATCACAATGAGACGTGTTTGTTTTCTCCTGGTTTTGGTCGTAATGTGCAGCATCATGTTTCTTCTAATTATATGCAGTGAAATACATATAATGATCCCGCTCAGAGTTTAAAAGGTTTTATGTAGCTACATCATTGATGTTTTTTTCCCTTATGTGTTGTTTCACAGCAGCGTTTGAACATGTTTGCTGCTATTATGCTTTTCATTTAAGTGTCATTCGTCTGAAACGGACTGTGTTGCTGCACCTGCCAGGTGATTGAGCCACACTGAGCGTGACTCAGAGACAAAGGGAGAAGCCCTTACTGCACATGGTGGTTCTGAAGAACTTCTCCACTGCAGAGAGGTAAGCCAACCACAGGGAAAGACAGTTAACTGTAATATTTTTGGCGTCTGCAGCAGTGGTGAAAGAGAGAATCGAGATACTAGAAGATCTGTAATGTCAGCATGGTTGATTTTAGTTTGTCTGAAGAGTGGTTTATTTTCATAATAAAAACAGCACCACAGATCAATACATTAGTAGTTAATTAATTAATTAATTAATTAATAAACATTTATTTGCCATATACAGTTCCAGAAAACATTCAAGTACACGATGATGTGGCTCCGGAGCTTTTAAATTACGTCTTAAATTAAGTCTTTTTTCAATAGTGCAGTAGATACTGAGAGGAATGAGAGCTTACAGCGGTTTGTTTTACAGCCGCTTGCTATAACATCATCTTCCATGGCCAGTTCATGGTCAGAGTCCACATTAGACCAGCTCTTGATAACCAGTAAGCACACGCAAGGCAAATGCTTATCATTAACACACTAAAACCATAAAATACACGATCAATCACACTATTTGTTTTCTGCAGTTAATGTGTAATTTATGAAATAAATTACACATTGAAATGATGTACCTTTATATTACTAACAAAAAATAAATAAAAAATAATGATTTTGCTGTAAATATAACAACAACAACAAAAATACTTTTATACATGTTGACGGAGGATGAAGTGAGTGGTCTGAGGAAATGAACTGACCTAAAGTCTGCTGGAGCAGCAGTCAGTACTTCTGTAATACTTGCCAGATGGCAGCAGGATGAATGCTGTGGCTTGGCCGGTAAAATAAAAAATCTGCTTTCTAAGAACCTTGTTCACTGTAACTAGCATCTATGTTGTTTATTTCAGTAAGCCAACAATAAATGGGTTTGAAAAACATTCAATAAAGCAGCTGGATTGTGGTTTATGTGCCAATATAGATATGCAGTCTCTGTGCCCTCCCACTCCTGGGGAAACTATCCAGACAAAGAATGACTCTATCCTGCTGGAAAATTACTGGAACCAGTCTGAAGTCATGTTAACGTTTAACCTCACAGTTAACCCACCCACCCCACTCCACTCCTAAGGTGGTTTAAAATTTTGATTCTTCAAAAAAAGTCATATAATTTTTCCTGGACAAGAAAACCTGTTTAGTCAGTTTTTTTATTATTTATATAAGAAATATTATTGTATAATATGTATATATTTATGTGGTGCAGTCAGAAGCAGGAAGTATGGGAAACATGGATAGGTTTGTAAAAATGACCTCCAGGAGCTAGCATCGTAAGTTAACAACAGTAGTCTTATCCAGTCACAGTGTGTCAGGGTCAAGTTGACAAGTAGTTGCCTGAAATAGGCTCATAACTTTATACAAATTTTATAATTATATTATTTTTTAATTATACAAATTGTAGACAGCTGCTCAACTCATTAAGAACAGTAACATAAGCGTTTCGTCCTCCTTATTTGTATTTATTGTGTTTTTTATGTCATTGACAGAATTTAGATTGACTGTGTAACCAGACAGTCATAGCAGTGGATGTACCTGGACTGGTGGCTGTTGTGTGTTTTTTAAAAATATTCTCATCCTGGTCACCGAAATCAAAGAAAGTGCAGAAGACATGTGATGGCAACAAGAACAAAGTTGCCATTGTTGGCAGCCAGAAAATCAGTATTCTGGTGGGGGTTCCTACCCTGACAGGTAGAACTTTTGAACTGATTGATCATTATTGCTTTCAGTATGTGTTCTTTCCTGCTCTCCACGTGTTTGACTGTGTCTTTGTCAACTTGTTTATTTTCTCTACTTCTCGTTTAGCAACACGGTTTGGAGCGTGAAGCAAGTGAGTAGTTGAAACTGTAAGCCAGAAGGGTGATGGTCAGTGCACAAGTATTATTATTATGCTGCTACTATAAAGCATCTGACAAGTTTTTCTTGTTCTGAGTTTGAGGGCCATTGTCAGCCTCACATACTCAGGTTTCCAGGGATGTGTGTGTAGGCAAGCTTACATTATACCTGAAACAATAGCACTGAAAGAACGCAGCGCCTCCTGAAGGGCAAGGGCTGTCCTAAAACGGTTTTATGGTGTTTTTATTACAACATGCTTATCTCTATCTGTTTTTATTACAATATGATTATGTCATCGCGACGTTGTATGGCGCCATATTGAAAAATAGTGTAGTTGTTCGTCTCTCTCTATGCCCTTTCACATGAAAGTTTCTTGAAATTGTTTTTTGAGGTCAACTTTGACCCTGGGTGCTAACAATTAAGGTCAAGGTCAAATAGGTAGGTCAACCTAGGTACTCATGTCCACTAAGGTGTAGTTTATTGTTGTCTAAATTTAATCTACAAAAGAAACTGTGAGTGATATAAAGTTTTTATGATTTTCACATTTGATATGACCTTGATTTTTACCAAAATTAAATCAGCTCGAGCTGTAATCGGTATCTAACATCACACAAAAACCGAAAAGACAGACAGACCAATTACTCCCTCCCATCGAGGGAAAAAAAACATAATGTTGCCAGTTAAACATGGGTCGTTTGTAGTAGTTATTTTGGTTTGGGTATGTATTTTTAGGCCACCGTGTACCTTTCACTAAAAAGATCTGGTTGTAGCAGATGCCAAATGGGTTGCAAAAAATAGACTTGATTTTTCAGATTCACGACTACCCTGTAACTCTGGATCTAGTCTAAGTACTATAAGTTTTAATGCACCGACAAACTAAAATATTTGACACCTGTCTAGAAGAACAATAGTGAGGTAGGGCATTGAGGCCAAAACTATAAATTTACTAGCCTAATCATTAAGAGCCCTAGTTCAGACTTAGAGGGATAATAATAATAACACTGGCTCTAGAGAGAGTCTTTTGCATTTGTTACAACTTTAGCAGGGCTTGCTGTGATGTTACTTTCTCTGGATAAATCCAGGGGATGTGGGCAAGTAACAACATTTTTTAAGGCTTTGCAGCCACTTTAGTTTTTACTGCATGCTTGAAAAGATGCTTTGGTAGCTAAAGTGAGGGCTGCTCAGTTGGTTGTAATGCCGACCTCATCATCAGATGTCACTAAAATTCTACACACTGCTCCTTTAAATGGCACATTTAATCTGTTGTGCAGGTCTCACTTTTTACAAAGCTAGATTTATATTGTTGCACAGTCAAATGTTTCTGTAACAACAAGTGAATTGTCAGGACTCTAAAAAAAGCAAAAAATAAAACAGATTGTCTTTTTGTTCTAGAGCTAAAGGACTGAAATTAGTCTATAGCGATAGTTCACTTTATTTCAGTGCAGTGTATTTAATGTGTGACCTATGCAGTGGTACACCGATTATCAGAAATACTAGCAAAATATAAGGAAGTTTAAATGTCAATATAGCATTTAGTTGGATTTAAAAAAAAATTTTCAATGTAACCTGTAACCATTTTTCACATCACTTATCCAGCGTATGGTCCTTTACTTACATTGTCTAAATCAGAATGTCTCTTTTGCATTGATGTTACATTTACTTTGTGCACTTTTTTTTAAGGTGGATTGTTTTTTTTGCATCACCATGCTGGAACCATTTCAGCACTGCGACACTTTTGCTTCCTGCTGTGGTGAGTTTTATTTCGTGAGTTTCAAAAAATACTAAAAAATATTCACTAATATAGTTTTAAAAAATCACAATGTGCATTGCTATCTTTTTTGGTAAAACTGAAAAAATGGAAAATTCCCAGAGAAGAACAATAATAATTTTAGTTTTAATAATATAATTTTGATTAAAAAAATATGTGCATGCTGTTACAAAAACAGAAAAATAAAATGGTAACAAATGGATGGATAGGAAAGCTTAAGTTGGAGGATGCGGGAAAATGGGCTGATGACATGCTGTCATTTATATTTTATGTTCAATTTGTGGCAACGTGTGTAATGCAGTAATGTGACTAAAATTCTATAGCCCATATTATAATCCATGTGCAATGCATAATAGGCTACTAATGATGGCTTCCCATACAGCCTCAAAAACCTTTGTGGGCTGTAATATCATCATTAGTTCGCCACATGGCTTGTAACGACCAGTATCCTTTGACATGTTTGCAGCTGACTTTTTACAGATCTAGTTGCGTACAAGCTGATGTTGAAACTTCATGGTATCTTCTTATGTTCTAAAAACTCTGTACTTGCTTTCTCATGTTAAAAGACACTTTAAACATCACAATTTTGGAGCTGGGTTTCTATCAACAACTAATTCCTCAGTGCTCTGATTCTTTTGGGAGTGTTTGGGGAGAAAACAGAAACAGGCAATGAAGAAATGAGTCTCCTTTGAGGAAAACCTAATTGTCAATAGAGAATTGTAGACCAGACATTTTATAGGTACACCTTCCTGATGCCTGGTTAGACCTGCTTTTGCCTTGAGAACTGCCTTTATCCCTCATGGCATAGATTCAACAAGACAGTGGAAACATTCTTCAGAGATTTTGGTCCATATTCACATGACAGCATCACATTGTTGCTGCAGATTTGTCGGTTCCACATCCATGACATAACTTTCCCTTTTCAACTTTCCACCACATCCCAAAGGTACTTTTCAATTTGGTGGATTGTTATGTTCCAGAAAGCAGTTTGAGATGATTAGAGATTGTAGTATGGCGTGGTATCCTCCTGGAAGCAACCATCAGAAGATAAAGACACTGCAGTCATAAAGGGATGGACATGGTCAGCAACAATACTCAGGTAGGCTTTGGCATTTGAACAATTCTCACATAGCACTAAAGGGTTTAAAATGTGCCCATTAACTTTTAATCCACTATTACTACACTACCACCTGTTGATTTACTATCAAATCAAAGCAATCTGGCTGTTCTAGTTAAACCTCTGGCATTTTCACACGGAGAACAGAGAACTGTCGCTGTCTGGATGTTTTCTCATTTTAACCATTCTCCATAAACACCAGAGATGACTATGTGGGAAAATCCAATTGGATAAGCAGTTTCCTTAGTACTCAGACCAGCACCAACAAATTCAAAGTCACTTAAATCACCTTTCTTCCCTGTTCTGATGGTTGGTTTCAACATCAGCAGGTCGTCTTCATGACATCTACATGCCTAAATACACCGAGTTGATCTACGCTACCAAGCAGAGGAACAAGCATACTTAAGTTTCTCCACAATAATTTTAATATAATACGCACGTTTCTCCAGCAGAGGGCGACAACTAAACACCCTTTTCAGCAACCACAGCACCATACGGTAACTGAAAAAAACTGCGCCGTTTCTCATTAGAAAACATTGCAGTACATGTCCGGAATTTTACGATTGTCAAGCATATGTGAGGTTTTTTTTAAAAAATTATTATTGTTTTTGTAATATGTTTTTGCTAATTTTCATATCATATCACATATTTACGCAACTAAAGGACTCCATTACTATAATACATGTAGCTTTATTTGAAAATACAATGAGAAGCAAGCATAAGTCAGCAGTTCCTTTTCCCAAATAAAGATCAGTGATGCTGCTGTTTATAATTCACAGTTCATAGTATTTATTGCAACGACATCGTTAATTTCGTTCGTAAATCAAAATGTAAAGGAACAAGGAGATAAAAGACAACCCGCTTTCATTCAAAATGAAAACTAATTACAAATGTCCGCTGGAGTTAACCTTAGTTAGGCTCACATGTTCCCAGTTAGGGGATGCTGTGCGGTATGGATCGATAACCACGCTCCTTGCACAGCGTGTTGTCTGCTGCGTGTATTGGATGAATGAAAGATAAAAGCACAACTCAAGTCCCCGCTTGACTACATGTCCATGTCGGATTTTACTTTTTACCCTACCCCTGACGATAGTGCGCAGCGTAACCTATGGTACAGCTCCTGAGCACTAAATAGACTTCAAAACACTGAACGTCGTCCCCTGTATGCCAGAAGTCCTGCAACCCTTAAAGTGTATTAAATCAGACAGTTTCATGAACAGAACAGTGTAAAAGATTTCTACTCTGAACCATATGAAACATTGTCACACAGCTGAGTTACTTGAATGTGATCCTTTCAATCTTAGACAAATCTGCAATGACCTGCGAAAAGACCAGTTTAAAAGCCATAAAAAATTAAAGTCCACATTTCACTTCATTGAGCAGACCTGCCGATCTTGTTTTTAGCCCAGCAAAATGCATATTATAAAGGAAAATATGTAGGAAATATAGCTAGTATTAAAAATTAATTTCATCACCTGTCAGTACCTCTTATTACAAGTGAAATCCAACGGTGATAAAGGGTAACTATGAGGATGTTAGTAACCAGTGAAACCACCCAAACATAATCTAATCAGCTAAAATGAAGTGAAACATGCAGTACAATTATTCACTCCCTCCTACAACAAAGAAAAACATATTTATTTAGTACATCATTCACAAATATTTATTTACTTACCTTTTGAAAAAATTATTATGAACAAATCCAGAGGAGTAAGATATGTATGCATATTTAAACTAAACAGAAAAATAAGATGTGTCTGTACTTGGATAATAAAACAAAGGCAAAATTCTTCAGGGCTAAACTCTCACTGTAACTGTAAACATTGTAATCTTTTGACTCGCTCTGGAGCACAAAGTTATTCAGTCAACAATGTGCACTCTTTGAAGTAATCCATCTCAGATAACATGATTTGTGTGCCAACAACGTTATATTTTATCCCACCTAATTCTTTTTACAAAATGTAAAACTTCTTTAACCTTGACTGAGATAAATGTTTCAAAGCTCTGTTAGGCAAAGGACACATTAACTGACAATAAAAAAAAAAAAACTTTGTGCCTGTTCCTCTGTCCTAAAAGCCAAATTCTTACACTGAACTAACCTTCAGTTTGTTACACAAAAGAACATTTATTGCTATACCACCTTAAAATAATGATTACAAAAAATGACCTAACTGGCATTTAAAAACAAACCACCTTTTCAGTTATTGCCTCACAGACAAAATGCCCAATTTATATAAATATGTCACAGATACTCATTTGTCTTCATTACTGGAAGAGTAAAAAAAATAATGTGCTGGAAATCTGGTGAGATGGGCGAGAACTGCCTGCAGCCCTCACGTTGAAAACCACTTATGTGGCCAATATAATTCAAATGACTGGGATATTTGAATTATACAAATAGGATCAACTCAGGAAAAGGTAATAAAATTTGTTTGCTTCTTTTAAAAGCTAAAGCTCTACAAGAACTCCACTGAGTACTTCTGTAGGATGCAGGAAATATGTAAGAAGGACAAATAAATAAACAAACAACACAATTTAATGTAAAGAATTGACAGCATCAGAAAAATTAAGGATTAACCAAAATAATGTCAAAGCAACCCAGTGGGAGGAGCCACAGATGTTTCAAATATTGTAAAAAACGTAATCTAAAGGTAGGACTAGTGGTTTTAATGATCACTTTTAAATATTTAAGATCTGAAACAGCCGCATGAACCGCTTAAGTTGTTAACTAACAGCAGAAACGAAATATCTGACTAAACCTAATGATACGCATATGAAAGAGTCCACTAAGTGACATGAAATACTTAATTAAGTAGTAGTTAAACAATTAGCTAATGTATGACGGGATTAGTGGCCCATATTGTGGGGTAAGGTGTATTAAATAACATGGGAGCCACTGTTCTCAACAATGACATGAAGTTTAGAAGCTGGGACAGCAGAAAAGTGTTCCCACTCACATCCGGCTGGGGTGTGTGTGTTTTGTTTGGGTTGCCCCGTCGTTCGAGACACGCCGGATCTAAATCCGCTCCGTTTTTTGTATCCTGCTCCCGACCACCTTATCCGTAACACTTTGTGTTTCTGTGTGAGAGAAGCCGACTCTTGTTTACAGCAGCGATTCCACGGAGGAGCGGCGGAGACCCGTAGTGTGCTTTAACCGAGGGCGGACCGTGGGATTTCAGCCTGTGGATACACACGCGACGGGAGTTTTTCTTTTTCTCTTTTGTGCGAAGCTATAAAGGCAAAACAAGAAACACTCTTGGAGAGCAACTCCTTAGACATATTCTCCCTCCCCACTCCAGCCGAGGTCGTCTAGCTGGAGAGCTGGAGACCCATTCTCTTGCGTGGCACAAGTCTGGTATTTTCTTTCAGTTGCAAATCCCGACTGACGGCGGAGATAAGTCGAAGCTGAGGGGCTGAAAATTTGCTGATTTTGTTTTTTTTTTTTAAAGCAACTTCTCATTGCGAGCCAGGACTGCTTGGTTTGGGGGGGTCGATAGACCCTGCTGTTTGAATAGCATACGGAAAAACAGGTTTTTCATTCATTTTTCAACCTCACAGCCACCACCCCTGTGGATCTGTACGCGTTTTCAGCCCACCACCTCCTCACACACACTTATTCACACGGGGGATTCTTGTGAGCGACACTGGCTTTAATTTATTATGGTGGTAAAGGCTGCTAAGATTTAAGTCTGATTTTTTTGTTTTGTTGTATTAACGGGCCTGGTCGCGCTGTGTAGGCTACGCGCATGCTGTTTTTAAGAGATGGAGAATGAAGATGGGGATTGCCATCATTTATTCAGTAAAATCATGGCTTGTGTGCCATACCAGCCAACGTCAAAGCATCCTGTGACTGGCGAAAATAGCAGAGTGTTTTAGTATTCCAACCCCCCAACGTTTAAATGTTTTTTGTACACATTTATATATATGTTTAGAGCAAATCCAGACAGATAAGCGACCACGCATCAGGATATCAGAAGCTTTTGGGCTACGAGGCACTTGTTTTCTCTTTTTCTCCTTTTTAAAAAAATTTTTTTGTGCGAAGGCTCTGATTTATTGAGCTGATGTGCACAACTTAAATATTTTTACTTTCCTTTTTGCTCTCATTATTTTTATTTTTTCTTGAAGAGGAGAATAATGTTCAGGAACGTAAAATCAGAAGCACCGATGGGTGGCCCGATCTTGTTTTGGGGTCTGATGCTGTCTGTCTCCACTATCTGCATATGGTCCACATATGGAGAGAGTAAGTATTTAGTTCTAATCAATATTGTTTTTATGAAGAAGATGTCGCTTGAGCAGGAATAGGCCTAAAGGCATAATTTGCTTTTGTAACCCAGTTTAACCTCTTGCATGAACGCCTTTTTTCCCCACTAGTGGAGGATATGCGTTAGCTGCAATTATTGTTTTTATTTGCAAAATAATCAGAGTGAATACCTGTAGTCGGACAAAACGATGGAATGCGACAAAACCGACTTGTGCTCCTTACTTATGCTATCTGAAGAGGACCATGTGGTATAGCTGCCGTCAGTTGATGCGCGCATTTAACCAAATACAGTCACTGTTGTGCGTAATATCGTCTTATTTGATGAAACTGTCATGATTATTGAGAAACGCGTAAAGACATGGAAGCAGACACCGGTGTGATTTTTGACATTAGACATCCAGAAAGCACGGGATGAAGCCAGGGAGCTGAGCTGAAGGTTACTACGACCATGTGGCCATTTTACATTTCGTAGTGTGGCGTCGCTGCGCACGAACAGCCAATTTTTTTTTTTAAAATCTGGCGATCCCTTGATTCTTAAAATGTAAAATGCCAGAAGACTGCCTATATATCTAAATATAATTTAAAAAAATTAAAAAAGTGAAACATTGTTACATTTGTATAGATCTGTGCAGTGTTAACTAATGAAAGTATTGAAATACGCCGCGCAGCGCCAGACATAAATCCAGCCTTAATAGCGTGCTCTTTTGTAAAACGCAAGAAATGTCCGCTGACGTTATACTAACCATCCAAATAACGTTGTAATTTTCTTTGGCATGACGTGAAAATGTGTGCACTTAATGCTAATTAACCCTTAAAGGCGGGGAAAAGTTAAAAAAAAAAATAATCAAAAGGGTTTGTAGGACCCAGTGTATTCAGTTTATTCCCAAGTATTCAGTTTTATAAATGGCAGAATTTCTCAGGAGTCTGCCCACTTTTATTGCCTTTGATTGATGTAAAAGTTTGTTTTCATGGTTTAAATTTAGAATAGGATGATAAATCATATAAAATAAAAACTGTTTTTGTTTATATCTACATATAAATCTAATCTGATCTAATCCTGTGTAATGTACTGAGAGCTGCCACAGTCAAGGCTGCTTTTTGCCAGTGCTAAAATAGAACAGCTGATCAATGGGGGTCAAAGAGGGTTCCCTCTCCAGTCCCTGGCTGTATGGAGTGTGTTTATATCTAATGGCTCATTGTCTTGGTTTTCAAAGGCAAAAGCTTCTGCTTCAAATGCACAAAGAAATTAGTTTTTGAAAAATAAAAAAAAAGGAAAAACTAAAGAAATTGAATGATAGAGAGGATTAATTATGCATTCCAGCTTTTTGTAGTAAAGCTTCTTGTGACACTTTGCATCAAGTTTCCCAGATTAAACAGAGATAGTCATGGAGTTCATTTAGATTTCCCCCCCTTTAATTCAAATCTTTATTTCTTTGGTGGTGTTTACGCCAATAATCTGAATTGTAAAAAACTTTCCATTTATCATATCATCATGATCTGCTGTTCGTATATACATTAAGTCTGTTTGGCACACCCATCACCACAAGTTGCTCTTTTGCCCGCCTCACATCAATTGCATCTCTCTGCTTTGAGCCCATCAATTGTGCTTGAGTTGAATGTGTTTGTCAGCTACGCTGCATATGCTTTATATCTTGATAAGTAAGGAAACTGATAGTCTGACCTCGGTTTATATGGAAATGGAAGAAAAATAAAAGTAACACGGTAGTCGTACCACAGTCATGTTCTCCCCCTCTGAAGGCCACAAGCACATCTGAGGGTTGGAAGACAGGCAGTTGCCCTCAGATCTCGGCTCTCTGTGGTGCATAATACATCAGAACTCATGGAACAAAGAATTTCATAACAAAGGCTGCGGACAACATTAGAGATGCAAATGTATCACTCGAGGATGATGTTTACTTCACCGGGTTGTAGAGGGACAGAATTTCCAGTGCTCCACTAGGGGGTAAAAACCTTCTTTTCTCTCTTCATTTCTGTAATCTGTCCACACCAATAAAATGCAATTAAACTACTTTTTAACTTTCGCCACAGTAAACTTTCCATGCCATGGCGTCGAAATGCGCAGCAAACAAGTCTCTAAAAGTCTAAAGGGAGTGTGTGAGGGCGATAGAGACTCGGTGTTTGGAAATAGATTGTGCAAAAATACTCTTGAAAGAGAAACAGACTTGGTCTTGTTGATTGGAATAGTAGTGAGTTTGTGAACTGTTTTATTGGCTTGTGCTGTTCGCACGGAGCGGTCTCGTATGCAGACTGATGCGCTTAACTTCATCACTTGGCACCACTGCTATTAGAGTTATAAATAGATATGTCACTGGCAAAAGTGGGGTCGTGTAAGTACAAGCACCCGCTGTCCTGATCCGTGCGGGTACACCAGTGTTCCTGTTCAGTTATTTATGAAAGAACATGTTGCTTCGGAAAAAACCTGAATGACAGAATAAATAATCAAGCATCAGTGAACACTGTGTTTGACAGGCACCCCTCCTACTTTTCCCTTTGGGGTATGGCATATTTGAAGTTCAGCACTCTTTGTCATGACGGGGTAAGTGGCTCAGATATGATTGCTGTCACTCTGCTCTAAGGTGTACTTTGTGGTTACATAAAGCCCCCCCACTTCCTTTAGGTCTTCCTGGAGACTGGATGCAGGAATGCCTAGTCACACTGCACCAAAAGAGTGTGACAAGCGTTCACAGCCCTGTGTTGTGTGCACACATGCAAGTTTATTGTGCAGCATCGAGTGTGTACTGCAGCAGGACTCAGCGTGGCAGCCTGAGTCAGTGGCGTGCCCCTGAGTAAGGATGTAAAAGTGTGTCACTGGGCTAGTTTGTGAGTGTGCAGTCAAATGCTGGCCTACCGCTCCTCCAGGCTGCCAGCTGAGGTTTACAATGCTTAATTAAACACTTTATTTCAAGTGGCATGTCACTGGATTTGCTCAAATGCAGTATCCGTCCGACTGCACATACATCATCATTGGCTGCCGGTTTAATGGTCCGTAGAGTATTTTACAATTTGCGAGATGATGATTGCAAATGTTAGCTCTTCTAATGGATGGCACTCGCTTTATCAGTTGAAAGCTGTTTGTTTAAAAAGAGTGCTGATCTATCCTCCGTGGCGCGGAGGATCCCAGAATGTCTACAAGAAGCCTTTTCTATACTCATATTAATCTGTTGAGTGTTAAACACTAAAGATCATAACACTGCATTTTACTTTATATTCCTTTACGTAGGTCTTTTTTTTTTTATACATGCAGCAGACCAGAAGGCTGTAGAGTGAAGCTGACAGTCAAAGAACTAATGAAAAAAGATATATTTTTAAAACTGTATTTTGGGGCAAAATCAGGTGAAGATTTAAAAGACTATTACTTTAGGTAACTTCAAAATAAGTGTCCAAAAAGGTGCCAAGTGGTGAGACATGAACTTGAAACCTCAAAGTCATTGTCTTTTAATACAAAAACAACTGTGCCTGAGTGATCTTTACCACATCAGTGTGCGGTTCCCCTCGGTTTCATAGTCAGGTCTAACTTTCTTGCTCGTCACATCTGGTTTCAAACCACAGAGGTGGTGAAGGCTGAGGCCGTCAGCACTAAGCTCCATCACAAGAAGTGACATCAAATTGTCTACATCCATCTTTTCCAGACATTAAATCAAAATCCTTCGGATGACATTTTTCTTAGTTTTCAAATTCTCTATAGGTTTTCACACTCCCTCCTTAAAGAAATTACATCACTGCAAATTCATATTGCTGTTTTGAGCGTGTGCAGTGTGTATGTAAACACAGCCTGTTACCTCTTGCCCTCTTCCCTCATTCTGGGTGAGGGGGAGTGCCTGTCTGAGAGTTGTTGTGATGGGTAATGTTACCATTTGGGGTTTTGGTGAAATCTGAGCCACAGTGATTGAAGTAAGGTCCACTGAGTGGACACGGTCCACCACACTGCTGGTCAGATGACTTCCAGTATGCTGGGGATTAGAGCCAGTTGACGTGGCAGGTGTGAGGGGATAGGACAGCAAAGTGGCCAACTCCTTCACCGTTCAAACCTTTTAATGATCATACTGATTTTATTGGTTGAGAATTCATATAATTTTGGAAAAACACAATTTCAGGAAGTTGATCATTTGCTATAAGCGCCTTTGGTTGCTAGGCAACCCTTGAAAATAAAACCAGACCCTTTATGATTGGCCTTAAATGAGAGGGAAATAGGAAATCTCAGCTAACCTAGACTCAGTATATATACACTAATAAAAGTGGTAGTTAACACGATATGATCAACATGGGCTTTTTTCTGGAATTCAAATAAGAATAAAAAATGCAGATTTTAAATAACAAGAAGTGCAGAATATTCAATGGAAGTCAGCAGACTGGTAATTGAGTATTTTAAGTTGTCTGTTAAAGTCTGCAAACATTTCTTTCTGCCCACATGCTCTGTTTTTACAATTTCCTTTAAGACTGTTGTTCTTCTTCCTCTTTCTGTGTTATAGTTAATGATTAATCCACAATGGAAACAGTTCTATGCATCCCTGCTTGCACTTTGCACAGAGCCCACCAACAACTTTATGCCAGTAACTGCAGGGGTCACAGAGTTTTCGGGACCCTTAAAATCGCTTCAAAATAAACACAGGGAAGAGGAGTCTTCCCTAATAACCTTCCCGGAGTTTACAGCTGGATGTCTGATAAAGGATACAGTTCCAATACAAGTGTTTTCCCAGAAAGCTCAGTTTGTGGCCTTTTGATAAACAGCACGGCATGTGGTCCCAGATTGCTATCTCATTTTTTTTCTCAGCCAAAACCGAGATGGCGTTTATTTACGTGTGAGGTATGTTTACTGGATCCGAATCTGATTTTACGTGAAGCTGAGATAAACGGCAGCCACTTGCCTCGATTTCATTCGACGGGGACACGTTTGACCGTGCACGTGCTTGTGCTGGTGTGTGCGTGTGTTTGTGTGATGACATTTCCACAGAGAGACAGGGCAAGGTTTATCAGTCATAAACACGAGCCGATGGATCCCATCACGCTGTGAAGATATGTGTGTTTACTCAGCAGTGTGAAGAGCAAAGATACACGGGAGGAGAGAAGGAGACGCATGTTATTTGGGGTTATCATGTTATGTGGACGCTGTTGCTGAAATGTATCTGGTGTATGTAATAATGAATAAAGGATTTGTCTAATCTTATTTAAGCATCGTTGTCTTCGCAACAAATGAGCTGACTGGCAAGAATCGGAGAATCCTGGAGGCTTAGTTTGAGGCAACGTCTTTCTCGGTCTTTTTGCGAGGAAATGATTGGAATTCCTGGTACTTAACATGCCTAATGAGTAGAACAAGGGAATCACAAAGAGGAAGTCTGTGTAATTCCTTTCATTTTATTCTTTCTGGCTTTCTTTGTGAGCTTAAATCTGCTTTGTATCGACGGCACTCAGAAAGACATTTACTGCATAGCGGTTTCTGTTTGCTGCCATTTTACACCAGGATGGCCCCTGATAGCTATTCTTGGCAGAAATCTTACCCTTCCCTGGCCAGACGCCTCCTGATTTTATTAATGCCCCCATCAGGAAGTGGAGCCTAGAGTTTCTCTTTACTAACAAACAAATTAGTCTTTGTATTTGAGTGGCTCCACCCCTCCTCCCTCTTTCCCCCGGCTGCTGGAGAAGCTGGAAGAAAATTCTCAATGAAACAAAGAAGACATGCAGCTCGATGGCTCACGAGTGGAGCCCAGGGGCATTGGTGTTGATTGGGGAAAGCAAATACTATTTTCTACTGGAGTAATTGTTTCCGTTCTAAATTTGGACATGTGAAACACCCCTGCAGGAACAAATATAGCCCGTTCACCCCCATAAAGATTACAATTTCTAGTTTTGGTAGAATAGCTTTAATGAAGCACATCAAACATGGCTTTTTTCCCCTTTTTTTCTTTTCAGAAAAACAACCATGAGTAAAGTGAAGTTAATATACTAACAGAACTATTTGTATGCTTGTTAGATTTCTATGTCATTGTTCTGTAGTCTAGAAAAACAATCTGGAGGCATAGTGTTCGTGCTGGGAGTGGAAACTGTTTAGCTCTTTTCTTTATCCTTTAGCTCTCAGTAGACAGTGTTTTGACAAGACAATGAAAACATGTCTGTTTGCCTCATTGGATGGACACCGTCACCGTGAGCAACACGGTGACGGTGTCTTAAGCGCCTTTAAGAACATAACAGGTTTAACCTAAGAGCTTGTATGTCATTGCATTTCCTGAGCTGATTGTTGAACCCTCTTTTAGACACTGTTAAAAAAAAAATATAAATGCAACTAGAAGGTATTCTGATTTCATAATGATTTAACATACAATGCAAGGGAATTAGTTGTTCTTTGTCTGAGATTCACAGAAGATTTCTCTTAAGCTTTTTGACTGACAGTTGTTTCCCAAACACTGGTGTATTTACCCCAGAGAGTACTTGAGCTGCTGTATGAAGGAATGTGAAAAAAACTATATAGAGAAAAATGTGATTTATAGTCAGTTTCTCTAAAATTAATCACTAAATGGAACGAAATAGTCAGGGGAAATGGGTAAAATATGGATGTTTGAATTAAAAATGGACTATTTTAACTTCACTGGAGTAAAATGTTAAAATAGGTATAAAATTAATATATGAACTGATTAAATAGCTAAGTTAAAAAAAGACAATTATGTGATAACGGACGAAATAATTGGCTTAAGAAAACTGATGAACAGAAAAACAGTGAATTGGTAAACAGATTGATACATTATGAAATGATAAAAAATAATAAAAGTTTGAATAAAGTTTGCAAAGGTGCTGAAGAAGTGAGACTGTATAATCTACTTTGAAGCATTTACCTTTCTTGCATTGGGCTATTCAAAGGGTATTCAGTGTGCACAAAGAATTGAAGACAATGTAGGATGTTACCTGAACAGGCAAGTACAGCAGATGTCATATCTAAGTCTAATCATATAACCAGGATTTGCTTTATAAATTTCCTTTGTGTCATTATAGGACCAAGAGTTATTTATTTATTTGTTTGCTTTCTTCTTTGACTGGCTGAGCATCTATTTTCTGTCTTGTATTTTATTTAAATGCTGATTGATGACTGTTACTTGTGAAGTGACTCATGACTTCCAGTGCTCCATGGAAGCATGTTTTTTTGCTTTTCTGACAAAACCTGTCAACACCTTGTCGCCTGGGGACAGACATGACTAACTTGGCGCATCCAAAACTGCATACAGCATGTATGTAATTGCATGTTTCACTGCGATAAGGTTTCCCTTGGTGTAGTTGCTGTTTTGCACAATTAATAGGATAGCCGATTATCATCAATAAAAAATGCAGTTTTTTTTTATTGTGTGTGTGCATCTGCCGCCCTGCCTCTCTGTCTGTTTGCATTTGGGTGTGTGTGTGCGGTGTGAAGGGATGCTCCAGGCCTTGTGCTTTCAAGTGCTGTTTTCCGAGAACAGAGAAATAGCTTATTTAAATGCTGGGGTTATCTGAGGTGAAGGACCACATGTCTTCCAACGAAATGCAGGGTTTGTGTCTGATATGATACAAAAGATCTATAAACATGTTAACTCTCGCACTTTATTGTGAAAGTAAGCGACTGTTTCTCTCATCACCCTGTTCACCTAAGCTGACCTGGGTGAGAACCTCTCCCCCCGTGTCGCACTTAAAAACTCCTTTCCTGAGAGAGGAGTGAGAATAAATTAATTTCTTTCATGCAGCGTGAGAACTTGGTGTAAACATGCTGTTTTTCCTATATGGAAAAACTGCCAGCAAAGTACCAACTTTACTGTACTAACAAGATTATATGTTTCAAGAAGATTACTTACGTGGAAATCTTTTGGCATACACGATCTCCAGGCTGTATTTCCCATCGAACACTGGTGAAACTGTGTATATGATGCATATGTAACACTGTAATACTCTTCTGTTGTTCTTTTTCTTTGTTTCTCAATGAAGAAAACAGTAAAGATGTGTTTTCTGTGTGTTGCAGTCTGTGGCCCGGATATCGACCTCCGAAACGACATCGATCAATTTAAGCGTCTTGAGAACTGCACGGTGGTGGAGGGCTACCTGCGCATCCTCCTCATCAACGAAAAGACCAGCAACAACAGCCAGCAGGAGGACTTCCGCTCCGTCAGCTTCCCGAAATTGACCGTCATCACCGGCTACCTGCTTCTGTTTCGTGTCTCGGGCCTCGATAGCCTCAGTGTGCTCTTCCCCAACCTGAGCGTCATTCGTGGGCACAACCTCTTCTACAACTACGCCCTCGTGATCTATGAGATGACCAGCTTAAAAGACATTGGGCTTTACAACCTGAGGAACATCACCCGTGGGGCCATGAGGATTGAAAAGAACCCTGAGCTCTGCTACCTGGACTCGGTGGACTGGTCATTTATTATGAATACTGAGTTCAACAATGTTATCAACGGGAACAAGAAGGCAAAGGAATGTGACAACGTCTGCCCGGGGATCATGGAGGATAACCCTCTTTGTCAGCAGACGACGTTCAATGACAATCGTAACTACCGCTGCTGGACCTCCAACCATTGCCAGAAAGGTAACCCTGAACTCCTTGGTAGTTTTCATCATGGCGATGTTTGAGCGATGCTTTGTGCTGCAGTAGAGTAAATGCGGACGTGGCTTTGATCTAGCTCGGAGGTTTCCAGCATCACAAACATGAAGAAATTGTAAATTTCTTCACCAGTGAACAAATCCCATGAATCTATGCAGTGTTTTTCCTTCATTTCCGTCAGGCAGTCAGATTGTCCATGGGCCAGTGCAAACATTTCCTCTATGTTCGTTACAGAGACCTTGTCTTTAGATCAGGCTATTTGTGGAATGAAGGATGGCTGCAATATAGAGCACCAGGTATTAGAGAGGCATACTCAGTTGAGGTTAAAGTTGCCCTGCCAAAAAATGAGGTAGTCTACCTTTCTGGACCATGTCAGCTAAATATTTGCCTGAGGGACATTTTGCGATTTATGAAAAGGGGTATATTGAAAAATAAGGGGGGGGGAGGGTAATTCTTGTTTAACTTTGGCCTTGCGGTAGGGTCATGCATTTTTTAACAGTTCAGGGGAGGGTCATATTTTTTTATATTCATTGCATTTAAATTCCTTCCATTCTGTAGAGTTGAGTCAGTTCATTTATGAATATCTGATACTTTGTGCATCCATACAGCAGGCGGGTGTAGCACCTTGTGGTCACATTACTTATCTTCACTGTCTTTCTCACAGATTTTAGAGTGTGAGACAGTTTGTGCTTTCAGATCAGAAACTGGGACAAGTAGATCTTCCATCTCATGCCTCTTCAAAACAACTCTGTCAACCACTTCGAGTCTTTATAGGCTAAAAAGATGAGCAAAGAGGCTTTTTGGAGAAATTTTATGTTGTTGTTGTCTAACACATTTCACCCACTCTTTCCATGAATTTAAGTAATTATTGCTGTTTGCTGTTTGGTACTGGAGGACACTTATATATTCCAGCAACTACTTTGTCAGGTGTTTCTGCCTGCCTGAGGGCAGATGATGTCACAAAATGCACACAAAACTATAAGGGTGTCTAGATGGGAGCAACATGAAGGCTTAGCTTGAAGACTGATTTGGTCCAACATTGTCTCTGGTTTGAAGTTCAGTTACAGGTCATGAAAATTTATTCAAAGTTGGAGTCAGGTACACATTTACAAAAGGGCTCATCGATCTATGCGTCAGAGGTTTGAGTTTTTTTTAACCATGTGCAACTAAAACTAGCACATGATGACATTTTTATGTGAAAACAGTTTTTTTTTATGTTCCCCCTGCCCATTTTTGAAGGCATCTGTGCAGGTGCTAGGATTAGTTTGAAGTCACAAACACCCCTGTCCTTCATCCCTTCGGGGAACCTCAGAATAAACAGTGGAAATCAAGCTTGCTGCTTTTTCCTATTGACCAAGTCGATCTCTATAGGAAAGCAATGGTGTTCACTGTGTGCGTTTTGTGACCTGCTGGTGCTCCCTGTATGTTATCAGCCCTTTGATCAATACACAATGAAAATGAACAAGGTTTTGTATGGTTGTCTTTGTTCAAAAACATTGAAATCTTAAATGGGCATATTTTACAAATACCATACATAGTAAAAGGTGCAAATCGCCTGTGATGACTTTTTAGTCACGTCTGTTCTTCCCACACTAGCTGCTATGTGGCGTTTTGTGGTGAAACCCTCTGTTGTTCTCACAAAGCGGACTTGAGAAGCAGAGCCGGAGCATTGTTTGAACCAGTTCACTTCTCTCAGAGGCCCAGGCGAGGTCAGGGTAAAAGCATTCATCTAGAAGGCCTTGAGGTCTCAAGGCTGCAGATAAAGGGTCTGGGTTTAGCTACACAGTGGTAAAAAAGGAGGGGTTACTGAGGCAAAAATAAGATACAATGAAGCTAGAGCAGATCTGTGATGTCTTGTAATATTCCAGGCTTTGTGCCTGTCTTTGTTTTTATAAAGGTTTGATGTGTCTCTCCTCCCCGCTTAAGATTCCTCTCTCCTCCTTCCTCCGCCCCTTTGTATAATTGCCTTGTTTTTCTCCAGTACAGATGTTCCTTCAAGGGCATGCAGTGGTATTCTAGTCAATACAGCCCGGTCTCCTCTTTAATTACACAACATGAAGAGGGAGTGATGTCTGCCTAGCTCACTGCTTTGCCCTCTGGGCCTTTCCAAATGTTTGTCCGCTCACCAGATACTGTTTCCCACACCAGGTTTGGGTGAATTAGACCAGGGCTTCTCAGAAGTGAGCTTTAATATGTTGCGTTACATCTGGATTTACGACAGGATGGACGTGAGTAGGAGTGACTGTGCAGAGAAGCGCAGATTGGAGCAGAAATTCTGGGTGCCTTTTAGTGGCAGGGAGAGATGCATAGAGAAGCTGTTTACAGGAGGAGGGGCATGGAGGGGAAATGTCAGACAAATGTCAAGTATACAAGCTCAATGCCAACGTCTCGCTGAAGGGCAGTGTACAGAGTGTTGAAAAAGGCCCCGTTCCTCCCACTCATCTATAACCCCCATGCTTCCTCGTATATCCTCTCTGCCTTCCTCATTGTTACTCCCTCCTCTTTGTATATGTTGTCTGTTCTCGTTTTCCTAACTGTCGTTCTCCACTTCACTTAGCCTCAGTCTCATCTCTGATTGTCCTTGTCAGTTGTTCTGTTGGTGTTTCGTTTTCTATTTTCACCTAACTCTTTTCTGCAGGGCTTATCAGGGGCTGTTAACAGCTCCGGCTGTCAGATATCTCTTCATTGTTTACTTGTCGAAAGGCACTTACTCACACACATGCACACACACACACACACACACTGGTCAGAACTACCAAGCTTGTTTGGCGAGACCCTGGCTCCTTCCACGCTGCCAGCTGCTTGCTTTGAGTTATGGGGGATCCCATGACTAAAGAAGTGTGGCCTGCTTCAGATGTCCTCCTCAGGTCTCTGTGTTTGCTGTAGACAGTCCTGCTTTTTACTGGACCTTATCCAAATCCACATAGTCAATAGGCAGTTGCAATTAGGCAGATGAACACTAAGCATGCCGCTGTAGTCACGGCTGATCTTAGGGCCGGCTAGTCTTCATAGCTCCACTGGGAGGCACACACTCTCTTACCCGCTGGTTCTCACATAGCTCACGTCTTTATGCAATAGAATATTCATTTATGGTATGCTCAGCCTTGCAGGCACTCCGGTCTGGTTTCTCAACCTTAACTTACCCTGTCTAATTTAAAGCAGCACGTCTGCCATGCTTTATTTTTATATTAACAAATGCACGTCATAATGATTTATTTATTGTTTTTAAGAGTAGTGGGACATTAGGGTAAGTCAAAACTTTAGCATGAGGAGACCACAGACTTTGCTCTGGAGCCCTGGCTGTTGGGAGAGCTTTGCACCAGTCTCGGAGACTTTGCATTACTTTGCATTTAGTAATATGTTTGCTCTCTCTCTGCCAAAGACCTACTTGATATCTCTGGCCTGAGTGCTCTGACCTGAATCCACTTCAGAACTGAAGTGGGTTTTTTAATAAAAAACAAAACAAACCCCCTCCTAAAACCACTGTTTTACTGTAGAGCAAGGTCTCACAGGCAGATACGATCTAGTATTCTTCCTGATGAGTAATAGCCCCAATGCTGTTAAGTTTTCACAAATCTTCCCCAAATATAATAGAAAGAGCAAAATGAATCATTCTGACTGTGGCATCCAGTCGGTCTTATCTAAACGTGTCAAAACGGTGCCATTTAAAAATAAGTCGAAAATGCTTTTTTTAAACAGCTAGTCCTGTAGTTTTTGAAAATGAATAAACAGTATTTTTTTTCCACTAAGGAAAATATAAAATGTCACAAAGCTTGGGTTTCAGACGGTGTTAGGTCCTTGAGTATTTGAAATCTCAATTCTAATGGGCCTTTGGTCTCTCACAGTGCATAATGATCATCTCTCCACCAATAATTATAACTCTGTGGTATGCAGTGTTTGAGTCTTTCAGTAATAGATGTTTCGCTTGGTAAATTAAGAGGAAATGACGATAATGTCAAGGTTGCACGTTTTATCAGTGCTTGCACCTTCTTTATCCTATTGCTCCATGGAAAAATCCAGCAGATGGCTAAGAAAAGGACTCGGAAGTTGGCCCGACTTCATTTTTGAGCTAATGTTATGCCTTGGATGTTCAAACAATGATTATTTAACACCTTAGTGTTTGCAGGGATTTAATCACCACCTCTCCAAATTCGCCCATACCTGGTGTTTTGTAAGAGTATGGTTACACACTGACTAGCCAGTTTACTTTTGGTTGTTTTCCTGGCTCTCTGCTGATTAATTTCATTCAAATTTCCTGGAAATAACCACTCATTAAATACATTTGTGCAAAGTGGTTCTACGGTGGGTTTGCAAAGAATAAACTAGATTTATTGATCTCTACACCTCTCGTAACATGGAGTTAGTAGAATTGTGTCTGCCACTTTAAGTATATAAGGTAGACATTCCTGCTGGCTTAGTCATTGCAGTTGTGAGGGGATAAAGAGGGGGGAAATACACAGCAGAGGCTGTGTGCGGACTACACATGGAAAGCTGTGGAGAAACTTTATGTGCTATTTCGAATAATAAAGTTTTAAACTGATTTGTGTGTGTGTGTGTGTGTGTGTGTGTGTGTGGTCTGTTTGGTGTATGCAGCCATTGTTGTGTAATATAGTGAGCCAAGTTCATATGATCGTGCCTTCCCCCTTCTTTTGTTTAACCAACATCCAACAGTAGATACAACGAAGCTTTTGAATATTTAATGGCTTCTGGAGCTTATCAAAGTCCTGCGGTTACAGGCACAGGAAACAGCTCAAATACCAGTCTTGAGAATCCAGTGCTTTCCTGGGGGCATGCTCAGCACCATGACAAGTTCCCGTACATCCGCTGTTTCCACTGGGCACAAACTACTTGCCTGCGCTTTGCTCCAGTTTGTACAAAGCTTGGGCGGAGTGCCAGCGCTGGTGACAAAGTGAGGAGAGTCACTCACTCCCACCATCCTAAAGCCACCAGACTGACCATGGAAAAGTCCCATCTGTCTTGGTGTC